TTCATAGATTTTCCTGGCATAAAGTAGTACAGGAACCATGCACAATCCTTGATATCACACCTCCATCCACCGGAAGCCCCAGGTGCATAGAAATATCCTCAAGTGTAATCGTTCACTCACCGCACGGAAGATGGAATGTGTGGGTCTGGCCTCCACCGCTACACTAAGGCAGAAATAAGGTCTGGTTCTATCTTATAGTGACCTTCATATCTACTTATGTGACCGAATCCAGTCTCTGCTAAATATGGCCAGACACGGGTAAGTATCGTATCTCTAACTTAAGGTTCCTAATAAAATGATCTAATATATGGTCTCTCTCCTAAAATATAAATAATTACAAAAAGTAATTCTTAAACTAATAATCAAGCATTAAATATATAAATAAATTATTACTAATAATTTAAATTATATTAAAACATTAAAATATTATCGTATCAATAAAATGTCGAGATATATGATTTCAATCCAAGCGAAGTAGACCGCCTTCCATTTTATATCTGCAAAAAAATTAATTAAATCAAATATTAAAAATTTAAATTTAAATAAATTACTAACAAAATACTAAATATAATAAAATATACCTTAAACAATTATAAGAGATAATAAAAGTATTTGAGAGAAGTTGAGAGGATTTGATGTGATGAAAGTGATTGAGGATGGAGGCATTTATAGGGTGGGATGGGGGTGTGAACGACCGGGGTAGTTGGGTCATTAAAGCTAAGGTATGCTACAGGGGGCGCGCCTTTCTGACGCGTGTAAGAATTAAAAATAAGGCGAGCCCTAGGGGCCGCGCTTTAGTCACGTGTATTCAAATCAGCATAAGGCGCGCTTCAGGGGAGCGTCTTACCCCACGTGGCGCCATATCAGCGTAAAGTGCGCCGCAGGGGACGCGCCTTTCTGCAACGGGTGTTAGATCGGGAAATAATGTCTGAATGGTGCCTGACATGGAATTAAAGTTCCCTAGGGTGATTTCTCGAGAAAATCACCAATTTCGGAGATATAAAAAATGAAATGAAATGCAATTGGGATATAAAGGTTAAATTATGCGTTTAGTATTTAAATTATTAGTTTTAATCCGTTTTAGTACTTAAATTTTTAATTCAAAATCATACCTTAAGTTTAGTTTTTATTTCATTTTAGTACCTCATTCAAAATTTAACATTAATTTTTGAAAAATTGAAAGTTTAGGTACTAAAACGAATCAAAATTGTAGTTTAGATATTAAACGCATTAAGTTTATAACGGCAGATACTAAAATGAAACAAAAACTAAATATTAAGTATTATTTTTAAAAAATTAAAAAATTAAATACTTAACCAGATTAAAAATAATAGTTTAAGTACTAAATACTTAGTTTACCCGGAATATAAATTGTAGGAGAAGACTAGGGATGAACATGGGACCAAAAACCGATTGGGTCAGTTTTTTTATTAAAAAAATCTGGTTCGGGTCGGATTCGAGTTTAGGGTGAAAAATACCCGATCCAAAAATATATAATTTTACCTTATATATTCAGGAATAATTACAATAATACCCTTATAGATATTATTATTATTTAATTAAATCTCTGTTTTTATTGAATAAAATAAAAATTTTTATTATTTCCGATAAGGTCGGGTTCGGATTTTATTTCAAAAAGTTGGATCAGCTTCAGATCAGGTGGAAAGTATATATTATGCGGATCGAATTGGATTTCGGATGGAGGAGTCATTATTATCCGATTGAGTCAAGTGAACCAAAAATCTAACACATCCCGACTTATGCTTATCCATAGAGAAGACTACTAGTCTACTACTTCGTAGGAGAGGCTGTGGGTGAGTGAGCCGCGTTGGCGTCGGCTTATTTACGGTGTTTTCAAGGAGTTTTATGGATTTAATCCCTATAGTATACTGAAATTTAAAATTCGATCCTCTACTTTAATTTTAGTACTATAATTTAATTCTTTTACTTTTATGATACTATATATATATAGGATAATGATATGATTGTCTTTTGTACTTTAACGAAATCGATAATATCTTGTATGAACTATCAAAATATTTAATATGTCTCTATATTTTATTTTAATATATTCATAATTTGATATATTCACAGTTTATTCTCATAGTGATTACTTAAATATTCAATCAATGATGTTCGACCAAAAATAAAGTTATTGGTAAGCTAAATAGTTAAGATTGTACTAAAAGAATAGGTCTTCCATTTCACAGTAACAATTAATGATGTTATCAATTTGGATCAACTAACAAAATTATTATAGAGGGATCAAATTATGTCAAACTAGAATAAAAGATTAAATTTCACAAGAGCACAATGGACAGGGGGTCAAAACGGAATTAGACCTTTTTTTACTTATTCACTGCAAGGATTGAAATAAAATTATTATAGAGGGATCAACTGAAAGTTTTATTTAAAAAAAATGTTTCTAAAAATCATTAAACATTTAACCATCCTGACCGAGACCATAACTGATTACACCATTAAAACTAACATAAATAACATCGACTTAACCGGGGATGGACCGAGGAGGAGGGGCGAGTGAGGTAATCGTCCCTAAAAATTTAAAATTATCATATATTTTAGATTTTTTAATGTATTTTTTATTAAAAAAACTATTTTAACCCCCGAAATTTTAGTTCGTCCCCTTAACATAAAATCATGCATCCGTTGACTTAACCGAATCAATAAATTCGATATAATCAAACCACACATTGATAAATAACACTCATACTCGAATTCGAAGTGACCAAGACTTTTAAGTTGATGTATTTACATAGAACAAACAGAAACGTCGAGTACATATATATAGCATAATAATCAGTTCAAAGTGTCAAAACATTACTGTAGATACCCGTTTTTGTACGGGTCTACAAAAATATTTTATTATATTATATATATATTTATTATTATTATTATTTTTTTTTTGCAAGCCCCAAACTCAATAATCTCGATTTAGTATGATTCAGAAAATAAACCAACATATTTAAGTCCTATTAAAACACTAAAATCAACGTATTTGATTCTTATTAAAACACTAAAATCGAAGCATTTTGAGTTAAAGTATGACTCTAAATCTGAGCTAAATATAGGTTTATTTAGACTATAAATAGACTCAAGCATCAAGAGGAAATGACACAGAGAAAAACTGAAACGGCAACGATTTAGAAAAACTGAGGGAAGAAACGGACAAAAAAACAAGCGTGGATGATCCAAAGGTAGTATCTAAAAGGACAAGGAGTGGCAGAACATTTTCATTGCAAATCTAATTTCTCTACACGCAAAACATAAGAGATGTAACAACTTTTGACTTTTTTATTTCATTTTTTATTTATTTACTTTATATATATATTTTTCATTTTCTCCTAATTTTATTTTATTTTTATTTCTTTTTATATTGTTTTATATATATATATATATTTATTTATTTATTTATTTTATTAATATTTTTTATTATTTTTTTTCATGTTTATTTTTATTTTTAAAATCCAACACTTTTGACTTTTTAGGGATACTTTCAATCGATCAAAGATAATTAATTCGAATTGAATTTTTAAATTTCAATTTAAATTTTGATTTTCGCGATTAAGACAACCAATTAATTAATTGGTACCGAAAGAGCGGTTCAAGGGTGTTAATCCTTCCTTGACCGTAACCGACTCCCGAACCCGACACGTTTCTGGTACAATGCAGATCAGGTAAGATGGTGTCCGACCTACCTAAATTCGTTTTAAATGGTCGGTCAATTCATTTAATCCAAGTCGAAGCCCAATTCAGATTCCAACCGAAATACGGCCGCGACAATTACATAATGACAGAAGTCTGGAATGCTTGGATGAACCTATACAAATTGCAGAACAATGGTTCGAAAGATTTCATCAGCGACGTGAAATCTTGAAATAAAGGATTACGATGATTGCAAGGACAAGAGCTACGATTACCGAACCAGCGATCCATTTGTTCTTCGTAATCCTTCGTGACATGGTTGTTAACACTTTCTTGCTCTTGTCGATGGCGCTATCCACATCATAAAGCTGCAAAACAACAACAAAGAAGTAAAACCAGTAAGCTGATATGCATCGACATGACATATATAATCCAAATTCGATATATTTCAACTTGCGTGTGCTGTTGGAGTATTTTGTTGAAGTTTTTGGGTTCGGGTTAGGGAGTTTTAGATAAAAACTACGTGCTCCGAAGTATTTACTGAATCAGTAGTCAATTTTTTTAAAATGGAGCTTAAGTTTTTAAGCAAGATGATTCAGGGTATTGGCGATTTCTTCATTCCAGGGTCGGGTTTGGATGTCAGAGCTCAAAGTTCAAGTTCAAAATGGTATCAAGTGAAATATTCGAATGTTGAGTCGGGAGTGGGACAAGCCAAAAATCCACCCACCCCGACTGGCTAAACATGTCCCGAGCTGACAGAAAACGAGACAAAAAAGAAATCAAGAATCCGGTGATGAACAACAATATGTTAACAAAGTTATGTTGGAGGACCTTGTTATGGGCATGCAGGAGAGTCTGTCGCTGTTGATGCCAATCTTCAAGGGTAGATATACCGAGCTCTTCTGTTTCCAGAACAGTTCTTCTACTCTCCTTAATTCTGTCACTCGACTGATTTAGTCTCTCCACCAACATCGACAACCGAACCCTTTGCTCGGCAGAAACCTGTACCAATGGTCGCAATTCAATAGAAAAATCTTCACCAGGTCACTGAATGGTTAATAACAAGTACGCATGCCATTAAGACCTAGGCTTAATCGTTCCAGGACTTCAGTTAGCAAGTCAAGCCCCGCACATCGGAGTTACCTTGTTGTTTTGGGATTTTTTTTGTTTGGTTTATTCAATGTTATATATAATAAAAAAACATAAAAAAATGTTTAGTTTACCCAAACTAAAATGAGATTCATGAATTGATCGAGGGACCAAAGAAGTGATATTTTGGGTGGATTTGAATTCAAACTTTTCTTTGAAAATGTAATAGAAGTCTCTGCTATCGGTAATATAAAAGAAAACACTAATTGAAAAGTCGAACGATAGGAAAGCTTATGGTGAGCAAACACAAGATTGTCAGAATCAAATCCACATTTTGCATCAAATAATCTACCGCAACGCCACTAAAAAACGCTGAAACATTAGAACATGTGAATACCAAGCGTGACCGAACACTTGTTTTCTGCTGGAACCGCACAGCAAGCTATATAAAAGCGTCGGTAAGTCTCGAATCTTATGCCATTATCTTAGCAGACCTCACATAGAGACTATCTACCACCTTGCCAATGTTGGAGATGGTTTCCAGCGTTGCCGGGTATATGGCATCGGTCTTTGGATCATCGAAGATAACGAGACACCCAGCACCCTGATCCAGGGTCCCTGCGAACTTCTTATCAAGTATCATCTGAGAGAGTTTCTTCTCTACATGATCTATTGGCAACTCGATCAGTTCAGCAATATGATTAATCTCGACCCTCGAGTAAGGCTCAATCAATCTGCAGAGGTTCTGCTCCAATAGTGTGTCGTATAGCGAAGAAAGGTGCCTGTGAACAATGGGGTCTTCCTCTAGTTGGGGCTTGAAATCACGAAGGGCAATCTCGAAAAGCTTCAGGGAACGTTTTGCATGGGCATCCGCTACAGCTTTCATGGCATCAAGTTCAGGCCCCACATACTGTAGCCCTGCCTTAGATGATATTATACTGGCGACGTCATCGGCCTGGCTCACCATTATCTTGCACAATAACATATACTTCAGGCTAAATACAGCGCGGGGATCTTCGAGAGCGTTAAAAGCTTCAAATGCTTCAAAGAAATAGCTGTAAGCAGTTTTGTAATCCTTTTCCTCGGCATGGAGGATTCCACTTTGCAGATCTATATTACCCTGTTGAGCGGGTGGCACGTAAATTGCATTAGCTGCAGTCCTTGCAGCCGTTAGAGATGCCTTGGCTTTGGGCAGGTTTCGAAGAGAGAAATGAAGCTTACTCTCCAACAAGTCTATGTCGACAAGAAGCAGCTTGTCATCCAACCTTCTGACCTCCTTGATTAGGCTGGAAAGAAGATTCAGTGCTTCTGGGTACTCCTTGTTCTCCATTAAAAGTGCTGCAAGCTTCGCTTCAACTCGTTGGCGAAGGAAAGTTCGCTTCTCAGCACGAGTCCACTGCACCACTTCTTTGCAAAGAGAAATTTGGAGATCTGATGTTCCTGGAATTTTAGCCACGTCATCAATTATACCACGGACAATTTTAGCAGTTTTTGCCTTTGGAATCAGTGCAAAAAAGGGCCTCAACTGGGTCAGAAGGCTTCTGAGCTCCTCCGCCCGGTTCTCTTGTCTAAGAAGATCAGATAGATTTGTTATAGCCTGCTCTTTAATCCGTACAGCATCGGGAGCAGATGAAGGATTTTCCAGTACACGGTAGAGGGTTGAGATAGCTTCAGATGGTGTTTTGGCTTCTAAGGCCTGAGCAATTGAATCAGTGGTTGCTGGGAGATATGATGAAGACATTGTAAATGCTTAAAAATCCAAAACCTGCAAATTAAAAATCGATTTGACATGGATGAACTTTCATAAATGATTAAATTCCAGTACAAATCGGAATACAAAGGTTAAAATCCAAGAAGTTTATAGCTACTTCGGCAACATGAATTGCAGTCATCCGAGCTCGTAAATCTTATATTGGACAAACTCAACAAACAACATCAACGGAATTTAAAAGCACCTAATAAATTACCATCACTGAATAAAAGGAATAGCATATCCAAACAACTCGTTTGTTTTTCCAAAACCATAACTATTCTTATAAGCCAAATCCGACCTTCACAGGTCATACAACACTTCATCCAAATTAAAAAAAAAAATGTTCGGTTGTTCAGTCTCCTTGAAAACATGTTCTACCACAAATCATTGTATCATTGGTATTAGCAACTCTACTAGAAAATAGTGTGGTATTAGCAACTCTTTGGAGAATAACACACTATGAGATCTACGTATCCCCGCAACTACAAGGCTTGTTATTTCTATATGGTTCAAAATATTGTGAAAGAACATCAACAAAAATGGCATTAGGTTTCTGTTTCCAGATCTCCAGTTACCCACTCAGGTCCCATTTCAGTAAACCTCAAATAACTAATATAATGTCAATGCAATTTCTCACAGAAGAAACAGCCATGTGAGATCAAAACCAAGTGATAATAAACGTTCCCAATCTAATATTTAAACCCTAATAATTTTCAATCTTGTGATAAAAATGTCAAAATTACTATGAGAAATGCGGATAACTAACCCTATTTGAAATTTCAAACATGAGCTATTCAGGTTCTATTTCTCGCTGACAAAGAAAGAAAAAAGCTAAGCCGTCTAATATTAGTGATTTCAAAATCTAAAGGGACTAAAAGTTGGAACTCAGATGATCTGATGAGAAATCGACGGTGGAGGCAGCAGGAGGACGCCGGCAACTCCACGAACACATAACAAATCAAAATCAAACAACAAGAGAGTATATAGAAGAACAATCATACAAAGAACTAAATCGCAGCTAAAATTACGTGGTCAAAGAAAATTTGCAGACAAATCCGACGGAGGAAAAGGAAACAAATCAAAGGTTACCCTCGAAAAATTCAAATCCCTAAAGTAAACTGTAAAAATCATACCTCTGCAAAGAGAAGAAGATTTGATGAATCGATCTTTTCCCGAGTTACACGCTTCCTGTTTAACTCAGAATCTGCCCTTTAGACTTAACTAGTTCTTCTTTGCTCCAAACCGACCCGATTCAAAAGATTTTTTATGCAGCAATAAACTTCAGATACCGTCGATTAAACTAGGCCTTGTAGAACTTCGGCTTTTAAGTGATTTGGGCCATTTCCTGGGACTTACAGAATTGAAAGCTTTATTAGTTTTCTGGGTAAAGTATACAAATAGTCACTAAATTAGGCTAAAATGATCCCTTTTACCATTAAAGCTTCAGAAGTTATTAAATAATTATTAAATTTGTCAAGTTATTACAAAATGATCATTAAAATTTGTTATTAAAACCTATTCGATTGTTATAAAGTAGTCCTTGAACTTATCAAAAATTTTCATTTTTAAAAAAAATATAGAGTTAGTTTGTAATAATTCAATAAATTTAATAATCATTTTATAACTTTGAAACCTTCAATAGCTAAAAGATTATATTGGTACAATTTAATGATCATTTGTATACCTTACCTAGACTTATGAATCTATATTGTTTATTGGTGTTTGAATTTCAATAGAAAAATGAATGATATTCTCCGTAGAGAATTTGAGTTATAGTAGTTACGTTTATAGAAAGGTGTGCGTGTGTTGTTAACAGATTAAGAAAAAATTATAAATAAGTACTATATTTTAATCAACTGATACTATTCAAAAATCTAATAATATATTTCAATGTTATAAGGTTAAAATTTGACTTAAATTTAATGGGTTTTTGAAATGATCTTATAAGGTCAATTTTTTTATAAAAAAATGTGTTTAGAGTGAAAAATCTCTTACCGACTCGAGTTGGGATAATAATAGAAGTTTCTTCAATATATTTAAAGATAATTATTATAATATATCTCTAGGTATATTTTTAATTTAAGTATCCGTTTTGATGAATAAACATAAATTATATATATATTGGTATTGAATTGGATCGTATGCATATTTTTATCTTAAAATTTGAATTGATTTTTAGGTCAATTATGATCTCCTTAAAATAAGATCATATCAAATTTGAGTCAAGTATGTATGTTTTCTTGAGTCGATTCGACAAAAAACTGATCCCCACTATTATTCATACAAAACAATATTTTGAAGGGTAAAGTACATAAATGATCCCCACTATATGATATTACTTTATTAAGTCTCCTGACTATTAAAATTTATAAAATGATCTTTCGACTATGTAGTGTTGCTTTGTTGAGTCATTTGACTATTAAAAGAAACAAAATGATCACCTGACTATTCATTATTTTTCAAACTCGTCAGTTTCTATTAAGAAATTGTCGGTCGTCTAAATTGGATATTAACATAATGACTGAGATAATGAATAGTCATATAAGAATATGTGATAAGATTTTATCATGTTAACGTTCAGCTCAGAATACTGTCAACTTTTTAACGAAATATGACAAATTTATAACATAATGAATAGTCAGATAATGATTTTGTAACTTTTAATAGTCGAATGACTAAACAAAATAATACTCCCTAGTCAAAGGAGAATTGTATAATTTTTAATAGTCGAGAAATTATTATTTGCATATTTTACCTATTTACCATAAAAGGAAATCACAAATTAAAACGGTTGACATTATTATTTTCACAAGAAAGCTGTGGTTTTGAATACATGTAAGTCTATATTAATTTTCGATTTCGAAATGAAGCCGGAGGGAAATTGAGGTGAATCAGCTGACTCGAAGCACTGGAACCCTGCGTCGTGCAGATATCACTTCTTTCATATGAGCTATTTGAAACAACAGCTGCTTGATCCTCTGCATCATAAAATTTGAGCAAACAAAAGAAAATAAATCTCAAATTATATAACAGTCAAGTAAAATTTTTCTGAAAGATGAAATTAAAAGCATTAGAAATCGACCTGGTCTTTCTCTTGAACCAAGACAATCAACCGCTCCTTGCTTTCTTCCTTGACCCTCGCACGCCATTTGCTCGTCTTAGCATACACAAAAGACACCACCAGAGCAGCCAAAGCGCCGCCGATCGCCCCAAAAGGCCAAATCCCGAACCCTAAACAACACCGAACCCTAGCGGCAACATTCACGATCCCATTTCTCAGGATCCGACCGAGCTCGTTCGCTTTCTTCAAAGGCCCCGAACAATCATTCGCCTCCACCCCATTGTTGGAGGCTACCGAAGAATTCGCCTCGGATTCATCGGCGGATGACATTTCGACCGCTTCGTGAACCGTCTCCGGTTCAGGTGATGGGGTTGAGCTCGGAAGCGCTGTGTCTGGGATTTGTTCCCAGTCGTTGAAGTCTTCGTCCATGGGTCTATCCGTAAGGAGTGATGGTGCGGGGATTTGGGTTATAATGGACTAAAAATATCTGGGTTTGGATAATGAAGAAAATATCTTTGGAGGGCTTTTCACAAAACTTGGAATCGATTGGGATTTGTTCGTTTTGGTTTCATTTAACAGTCTACTTCTTGCTGGGTCTTTCGTTTAGAGATTGTTCTGGGAGTGTGGGCCAACCCTCTTTCCATGACGATTTGCCCGTAGATATTTTTAGAGTTAATTATATCATATGTATTTAAACTATGATTTTTATTTTAAATTCTTCCATAAACTTATTAATGTTTCAATTTAATCACTAAACTTTGTCTATCATTCTAAATTAGTCCCCAAGCTTTTGAAACTTTCAATTTCATCCTCTAACTACGACCCTATTTATAAATTAGTCCCTAAACTTTTTGAGTATTTCAATTTCATCCCAAACCATACGTATATACTAATCACATTTATTGTTAATAAATCGTTAGACCTTACGTTTTTTAAGAAAAACAAAATTTAGGTTAGATTATGATTGAAACTAATTATATATTTGGATGAATTTGGGGATGAAATTAAAATATTCAAAAGTTTAGGGACTAATTTAGAACGAGAGCCACAGTTTTGGGATTAAATTAAAATATCTAGAAGTCTAGAGACCAATTTAAAATGAGAGTCATAGTTTGAATACATATGATGCAATTAACTCTTTTTTATAAACCACGTGTATAGTCATTTCACTTTGACTAAATTTTCATTTTAATAGTTGTTATTTGAAAAGTTAAATTATAGTCATTATTATTATTATTTTATCATATTATTACACGTAAAAATATAAATATTTAATATAATTTATAAATTATAGTTATAAATATTGACTGAATAATTTTATAAATATCCTTAATTGTTATGGGTGCCCATTTATAATATTATTTTCTTCCAAATATAATTGGAAAAATGAGAAAAAGAAGGGGAAGGAGACAAGAGAGTAGAAGGAGAACAGAGAGAAGAAACGAACTCAACGAAGGCAGCTAACATTGTCGAAAAATATGATCGGAGCATTATTGATGTAAGTTAAAACAGAAATTGGGTTTAGAGATTAAATTAATGTTTGTTTAAAGTTTAGAAGTTAATTTATAAATTATTTTTTAACGTGTCATGTAAATAAACTAACGGGAGTTAAAGACTTGGTAAAAAAATGTAACGAATTGATAACACAAGTAACTAAAACGTAGTAATTATTTTTAAAACTGGTGATCAAAATAAAATAGACTAAGAATAGAACTGAATTTGGGTGTATTTTACCCATAATTAATTTATTCTTTTGAAATAAAAAAAAACATATGAAATAACTCAATCTATTTTTTAATTGATTACATGTAAATATTTATTTTAAGAATGGTGTTTTTATTTTATACAAAATCTTTAAAAATATTAATTTAAAGAAAATATTTTGAGTTGGTTATAAATAAATTTAACTAAATTATTTTAGTTACGACAATTAATCAATTATATTTATTTAATATATTCATTTAATATATTCGATTATTATGTAAAAACTGAAACAATTGTATGCACAAGTCTAACTATAAAAACAACCCTGTACACTTAAGAAAGGATTATAGTCATAACATTTCTTAGCTTCATTACAATTTTTTCAATAAATTTTATTTCTAAACATTATAAATTCTCTCAAAAATAAAATAAAAAGGAGACTATTAAACGAACTAGACCAATAACAATTTTATCACTTCAATTATAATTTTATTTTATTTTTACTTTTTTAAATTTTTTTAGGTTAAATTGATTAATTTAGGGTAAATACAAAATAATATATGTTTAAAGATAACTATCAACCACTTGATATTGAATGCACACATGACCTCTGACATTCATGTTGTGATGATGTTAGACAAGTACAATTTCATGGATTTCGCATCGCACCCGCTTCATTTGGGATGGTATAAGTTTAGTGGGTAATGTGCGGGTGTAGATGTAAAAGATCATATCTGCCGTGGGTAGTGGGTAAGTGATGGGTTTGAGACATTATCCGTACCGCATGTGCCCGTCCCACATCCACCCGTATACTAACTATTCACCATATACATTTTGGACTGTTATGAATTTAAATATAATTTCAGAGATTATTATATAAATCTTAAAAAATTTATAAGACTTAACTTGTAATTTAACCAAATGTTAGGGTATTAACATTTTTAAAATCGAAGATCGTCGCTTATGTAATATGTGAGATTGCTTTTGGACTGGTATGGGTGGGTAAAAGCGAGTACGAGATGGGTAGTGAGTATCTAGTTGAGTAGTGGGTGTACGGATGGATTTAAGAATGTACTTGTATGGGCGGGTATGAATTTAAAAAAATTACCCGTCGTGAGTTGTGGGTAAGTGATAGATATGAAAATATTAGGTGTATGGGGATGAAGGAAGGGGTATCCGCACCAACCCCGCCTATTTATCATCCTTATCATGGTTTTTGTATCCAATAACTTAAGAATAACAACAATTTCTTTACTGTTAAGATTGTTCGGTTTATATATATATATAGATATACAGAAATTAATCGTAAAATTTGATCGTAAAATTTATGGAAACAAAGCGTAAATAACGCCCGTATTTAACTGGATTTGTGCTTATATATTTAGTGTGTTAAATCATGGGCGGTAATTCCCAAGAAAAATAAAAACAACACAAAAACCGTAAGCCACCAATATTACTCTATCTGCATGCATTCACAAATCTCTTTTGGGAATTTGCCCTCCTTCCCGTCGTTTATGATACATTCTCCAGCCTCGTCTCTTCTATTGTTTTTCCTCATGTTTTAATTTTATAGGTTATTCAAATAATAAAAATGACATTTTACTTGCAGAAATCAAGTTGTTATTATATGACCCGGATTCGAACATCATAAATGCTAGGGATGCGAGCGTTCTCCGTCGTAAAATTAAAATTTTTCTTTAAATAGATATTGTGTTATTCTTATTCCAGATTAATAAAAACATTTCTTAAAAAAACACTTTGAATTTTAACGTAAATATGTATTACATGTTATTGCGATTAGCAAACGAATTTCGATATTATCCATAATATTTTTTTAATAAAAACTTGTTAATTTTCAAGATAAAATACTAAATAAAATTGTTTTCTGTACATTAAACATAATCTCAGATAAAAGAAGGGGGGAAATGTTGGCGTTAAAATCAAACGAGATGTTAGGAGTAATGATGTTAGCAGGCCAAAAATCTAAGTGCACGCATACTTAATTAAGATACCAATGATAAAGAATATTGGAATATACCAAAAAGAGAGAAGCTTATTGGATAGCAGACAATTCCTCGATTAGATATTTATATAAATTTTTACAATATTAATGTGTATATATAATATTATGTAAAGATTGGTAGATTTAAGATATATGAAGCATCAGGTTTGTTCCTTGGTCCTTAGAATTATTACATGCACATTAAAATTCATAGAAAAGGTTTCGAATAATAAAAGAAAGGTAAAAAAATATCAAACTCAAAAAATAAGTACAATATATCCATTTGATTACACATATAAATAAAAATCAACATGATTATCGTATTATTTTTTCTCTTAATGTGATCATTCAACTCAGAAAATAAGTACAATATGATATTTTGACTAACGTTTTTCGTCGTTGATCAGTGTAGTATTGACGTGACAGTCTATTGTGGTTGATCACATGACGAATAATATGATAGATTGGTTAAATTTATAACTCAACAAGACAGATGAAATGTCACGTCAATATCATGAATTATCACGTCAGTACCGTAACAATTAAACGACGAAAAATATTGACCAAAATACCACATTGAGTTTGTTTTATGATTGGAGGGCCACATTGGAGGACCACTTTGATTTTTTTAAAGTACATAGACATCTATTGTATTTTAGTCTAAAAGAAAATATTTTTTTTAAATTACGTTCAAATAATTATACAGGTATAGTGTATTGTTAATAAAATAAAATACACATATATTATCTCATAATTATTTTGTATTATTTAAAAAATTAGAAGCTGATTATTGAGATAAAAGATTTCACTACGAGTTAAAAGATTTCACTTCAATGAACACTTGAATTTCCTTGTAATCTCCTCCTTGCATGAAAGTGAAAGAATTGCAGAAATTTCACATAACAAATGAAAAGCCGAATTAAGGATGCAAACAAAGAAATAGTTACAACAAGACCCTCACAATGTATTAATCAAACCCAATGAACACCTCTCTTTCTCTCCCCCTATAAATATATATTCCATTACAGTGTCGATGAACTGGGAAGGAAAACTGAGCATGAAAATGGGGAAGAGAAAAGCGGAGATCAGTGATGTTGATGAGGAAGAGAAAAGAAACTACGGTGTCGAAGAAACGACGGCGAACGATTCTAATGTCGTGGAAGTGGCGGCGGCATCGAGCAGGGTCCGCCGAGAGAGGAAACGGTTCGTCGGGGTAAGGCAAAGGCCGTCGGGGAGATGGGTGGCGGAGATAAAAGACACGATACAGAAGATACGGGTTTGGTTGGGCACTTACGACACCGCCGAAGAAGCGGCGAGAGCTTACGACGAAGCCGCTTATCTGCTTCGTGGAGCCAACACTCGGACCAATTTCTGGCCTTTTTCGCCGTCGTCATCGATCTCTAAACCAGCCCTTCCTTCGAAGATCGTTAATCTTCTCTTGCTCAGGCTAAAAGAAAGAAACGACACTGCTTCTTCTCCAGCTCCGATGTCTTCAATGGCTTCGAATTCGCTCGTCAACGAAGGAGACACGATTTGCTTCGACGATTTATTGAATGTTCCTGAAGAATATTGTAGTGCTTCTTCTTCTAGTGATTTCATGCCGGAGAGTTTCCGGTCGAATTCGGCTGATCCGATATCGATTCCGAATGAAGAGATCGATAAGGACGGTATAATGGATTTCCAGTTTATGGATTCTTTCGGATTATCGATATGTGACACCATTTCTCCATTCGAGATAGCGGAAGAACTGGTGGAGCCGATGGTGGAGCAGCAGCAAGAAGACATCAACGGCGATGATACTACGTGCATGCTGAGCGAGACGATGAAGAGAATGCAATACGAACGTAAATTCTCGGCGTCTCTCTACGCCTTCAATGGCATACCCGAATGTTTAAGGCTCAAACAGCTCGAACAACAATGCCATAAATCTTGTCTCGGAAACAGTAACTCCAGAAACGAACAAGAAACCGATGAGGGATTCGAGGTTAAAGAAGAGCATGATCGAGAAACGGGATTTTCATCGGCTTGTGAAATGTGGAGCTCACTTGATCTACTTCCCCCTACCAGCTTCACGAATTAGTTTTGATATTCGTTTACTGCTGCATTTTTATAAACAATAAACAAAAAAGAATAATGCAGTTTTTCAACATTCAGCCGTCCAATAACAATTATTGATTTTAATAATGTTTTTGGAGATTTCGTGCCTTACGTTACTCTTCCTTCTACTTTAAATATTTATGTCGATATAATTCGAAGCTGCATACTTATATCAAATTATGGCATATAAAAATTAATAGCATTGGAACTCATCAAGTCATTTCACGACTTCATGCATACAAGGCAACTATGCGTTAAATTTACATTTAAAAAAGCTAAGATGAAAGGCCCATAAACAGCCTATAGCATTACTGTAGGGCTTATAGCCCAAACAAAGGACAAACCTAAGCTATCTATCTAACTCCTAGGCCCTTGCTAATGTGCCTAAAATTTAGTCCAAGTATTTATGAAGTTGAGGCCTTCCAATGAGTAGTTGGTACTCGGTAGAATTAATAGGGTTAGGTAGTATTAATAGGGTTAGGGGATGGCCTTCAATTTTTTTTATTAATTTATAATAAGTAAGTTAATATTTGTTCAAAGATAAATTATAATCTACTTGGTTGATATTTTTTATATAATGCACGAATCAACTTACTTCAGTAGTTAAAGGAATCATTGTTGTTCCTAGGGGTCATGGGTTTGAGCACCAATGACCCCAACAGGGTGATTGAGCGGTCAATATCAAATAATTGAGAATATTTAAAAATGATATTATTTTGTAATCACCTTAACTTAATAAAAAAAGATAAATTAAAATTTTGAGTAGTTAGACTAAAATTTTAATTTGTATGTATTATGTAAAAACTTATCATTTATAACTTTTAGAGGAATTAAAGAATGAATTTATCATTTTGATGGGAATATATTGATATCTAATTTATTAATTTAATAATCCATATAAAATAATATAAAGTATTATAATCCTAATTCAGTTTATTTTATTATAATATCATAATTCAATTTTTTTTGATAAAATAAAGTTTATGTCAGGGATGGCTCCCCAGTTCAGAATTACGGTATACCAAAGATCCAATTAAAGATTTATATAGGAATTTATAGATTGCCCACCAAGAGTGATAGTAGTATGATTCAAACTTGACTTTACAAGCTCAAAATCCAAAATCTCAACCACCTTAGACCAACTCTTATTAACATTATAACTCAAATTTTGATTTTATTAAAAAATCAATATTGAATCTCATTAAAAAAATTAATTATGGATAAAGCAAATCACCAATTTCAAAACAAATGTGGTATCATCAGAGTCATATCTGGGTCTGGACAGGAGGGTACCTGCTCGAGGCTAAGTGTAACACCACAACCCGTATCTGACTCGGATATGAGTCCGAGATGTCGCATTGACTTTTTAAAACGATGTTCTTCCAAAATAACCAAATATTTGAACTCATTTTAAGAAAATATGATGATATATTATTGAATTATGCTTCATTATAAAAATTTAAGGCAAAACGTATTTATGAACAGTATTATACGGTATGAATTATACCGTAAACAGTATCATGAACAATATTACAGTGCACTGATGCATTGCTACAGTGCACCGATGCATTGCTACAGTGCACCGATGCATTACTACAGTGCACCGATGTACTAAAATTTCGAAGCAAAATTATGCGTCGATGCACTGTTACAGTGACTTTCGTAAAACGTTCATAAAACTTGTAAAAATTTAACCGTTCATTACTATACATTTACATTTACATAAATACGTTTATGTTAGGATTTTCGGAAGCTCGAATCAACAACCAGAACGGTTTGTAAAGAGGGGTTGGAACGGTTTTATGTTTAGGGAGTAAGGAGATTGAAAGATAGAGAATTGCACAGCGATTTATAGTGGTTCGACTTTCTCAATCAAAGTCTACGTCCACTACCTTAGCTCTTCACCAAGGATTTTCCAACAAATTCACTAATTTGTTCTTTCTTTTGAGGATAAAGAGTAACCTTACAAACTCCCTAGTTTTTCCGGGCTAAACTAGAACATTTCTCTAGCTTTTACACGGGCTAAGCTAGAACCTTTCCCCTTTACAAAAGGATAAAAGATGTAAACAAGAAAATCTCTCTAAGGTAGGTGTTTATAAGATTGAGCTCACAAGAACAAAATATTTACAAGAAAAAGATGAAATAAGATTGAAAAACTCTTCTCGTGTGTTTGATTGCTTGGATAGTTGTTTTCTTACTTCTTCAAGTGTCTTTAGCTTGTATTTATAGCTTGGAATGTGTTTGAAGTCATATCTAGCCGTTGGGGATGTTTTGGAGCCGTTTGGGAATGATTTTTATGTAAAAATGGGCTGCCCAGAATGGGGGGAATCGGTACCCCTTCATAGGGAATCGATACCCCTTTATAATATTCAAATATTATGACCGTTGGGCTGATGAACAGTGAGGGAATCGGTACCCTCAAGGGGGGAATTGGTTCCCTCCGAGTAATATGTTATTTCTCGGAGCCAAACCATGTAGGGGGAATCTGTACCCCCTAGGGGAAAATCTGTTCCTGGGGAATCGATACCCCCTGGGGGGAATCTGTACCCCCTGGACAATCTGATTTTTCTTGAAACCCTTTAAAAAGAAAGAATTTTTGGCTCGATTAAGACTCGAAATATTTTGTAAAATTGTTTTAAAATAGTTTAAGTATAAAACATAATTTTACACTTTAGTAAGGATTAAAGTGAACTTTGAAAGACTTGGAGTAATATTTTGATATTCGGATAATTATATCGAATATACTTAGAAAATCATTTGCAAAATCTTAAAATTCATTTGTTATATCAAAACATCAAAATGTTTTCAACAGTTAAAACATTACAAAACTTGATCAGAGCATAAATACTTAATTTACCAACTTTGTTTACATGCCAACCTATTTTCACATAATAAAACATACTATTTAATCTACTTCTGATCTGACCTTCAAGTGGAGTTATGTTGTTCTGTTAAGCTTAGCTTTGATCTTCATGCTTCTTAGTACCTACGTGTAAATCGCTTACACTCTAAGTCATAGACTTAGTGAGATATATAAATATAATAATAATGCATTCTATGTGAATATGAACATGAAATCTATCCATTCAATCATGTCATATGCAATTCAATATAAACAATAATAATATGGTAACATATAACTATAATAATGCACTTACCTTTGATAACCTTTTATAGGTCCATGTACATTTTTGAGAACTCAAGGTATTCGAGTACATTGAGGTTGTGCACTATTGCTATCACCATAGCTCGTATGGGGTCCCACTAGGGGCATATGAATTTTGTCCCGAAGGACCTATGTACTGTATTTGTCCCGAATGACCACTCCTTAAGAATCATATACATATTCCAATGGATCAAATATGTCTCAAAAGACCCTGCTAATGTTCCAAAGGATACATATACGTCCCGGATGACCACGTAAAACCCTCAACTCTTGGCATGTCAACTATACCTATAGCTCTCATATCGTATACCATGGGCATTATTCTTATGTTTCATATGTTCATGTATTCATGTCATTTCTCTTGTGATCACATAGCTCATATCACTTATCATATCACATGTGCATTTGGATCTTTTCACATATATCATTTATCAAATCATATGAACATATATACTTTATGCATGTATCATAATAATTATCATGTATGCATGTTCATAACTATTGTACTATGAAAATCAACATAGGAATTGGACTTATGACAAGTCTTATTCCATTGTACCATACTTATAGTATGCACTCACCTATATCCCTTTGTCTTTTCCTCAATCGATCTTACTTGTCACTTGTTCCGGAACTTGTTTAGGCTCAATATCTACATAAATATAATTTTCAAAACAATTATAAGAAGCCTAAACCTTATAATTCTATACTAATAACTTGAGCTAATTTAATGAACCCAAAAATTCAGTTTTCCTTTAGGGGTGTACCGATGCACTATGGATGTATCGATACACAAATTAGGTTCGAAATTTTCATGCATCGATGCACCCCTTAATGCATCGATGCACTTTCAAAATTTATCTTAGTACATCGATACATACTCATCGTGCATCGATGCACCTGCCCAGAATAAACTATTTCATCCGAAAATCATCAAAACTTCACCCAAATTTTCATGTATAAAATCCTTATTATGATACTAAATTCATTTATAACAACTTTAACCAATTCCTATCATTCCAACACCTTATAATCTTCCATATTTCATCCAAATTCTTAAGGCTAAGAATCATACCAAATTTTACATGTTATCCAAACTTAATTCTAACACTTCTAACTTCTTATTCTCATAGATGACAAGTCAAATTTAGTTTTAAATTCAACTTATCAACTCTATTCCAAAAACTCACTTAAAAACCCATTTTCTTTAATCTTTCATAACTTCTTCATCATTTGATTATAAGATAACTTAAGCTTTTCTTAAGCTTAGTTATCATCTAATGATCAAAACCCAATCTTAAAATTAACAAATAATTATCTAAACCAAAAACTTACCTTTAATGGAGACCTACGGGGAGAAGAAGATAAGCTTCATGATGCTTAGTCAACCCCCATGCTTATCTCTTAAATAAGAGATATTTTTCATGAAAAGGCCATCTTACCCTTCATACTTTCATTCCTCACAATTTAATCCAATACCATAATTTATCATTTTAAAATTCTAAACTTTTCAATAAATTTTACTTTAATCACTAAGTTTTGAACTTTTACGATTTGGTCACTAACTCATAATTTGGGATGTTACACTAAGGGTGTTGTCGTAACCGTTTTCCGGCGGGACAATCTTTTAAATCGTTTTAAAAACAGTTTCGACTTTAATTTTGGAAAATCCGGTGATTTGGAATTAAATTGGATAAAATTGGATAGAGTCGCCATCAACCTTTGGGTTAGGTAGGTCGAATACCTAAAAATGTCTTTTAAAAATAATTTTAAGAAAAATCATTTTTTAAGACAAAAGTTGGTCTGCGTTTTACCAA